TCCAAAAACTGGTACTACTGATTTAGTTCAAGAAAATGCCCCACGGTTCGGTTAACCGAACAGTGAGCACCCCTACCAATCTGCACATAAAATGTCATATTTTTGGTGAATTTTATAAACTAGTATTATATTAATTTAGTAATAATTTAATAAATTAATAAACTAATATGTATTTTCTAAATAGTATATTAATATTTGATAATAATTTAATGAAAATATATATTACATATATTTATTGTATATAACATAAGTATTTTTTATTATATGTAATAGTGTTGACTGGACTTATTTGAGAAAGCCCGAGACTAGCCCGAAAAATAGTCGGGTTTGGTATTTAAAKCCCAAGCCTAAGCTCGTGGGCCTAAAATTATGTCCAAGCCCAAAAAATAGCAGGTTAGGCCGAACTTGCAAGTATACTTGCCAAACGGTCTTTTGGTCTTTCTAGCTTTTAAGATCTTTGAAAAAAAATTGAAACCAAATGGTCTTTGGTCTTCAAAGATCTATCTATGAAAGCTCATCAGTCTTTTGAGTCTTGAGCTTTTAGAAGATCTTCCTAAAAAGACTTGCCAAACGCCTCCTTAGTGTGAGAGATTTGTCCTAAATAAAAAGACTTTCATGTTCCCAATATTTTAGGTGAGAGAAGAGAGTCAATGGTTTTATACTATTGGAAGGTGAAGGTTGTTCTATAAATCCAGATAGAGAACATGAAAAGCCAAACTAGACCATTGATGTTATGCTAGTTTATGTTGGACTAGACATTTTAGAAAATGTAATTCTTTAATTAGATTTAAGGTTCAAAGAGGGTCATTACATTATTCGATCCAATGGTGAAATCTAGGCTTGACAAGCATGAGAACATGAGCTGAAGTCTAAGAACCACTTTATGCAAGAAAATGCCAAAGATTCGTGTCCAACTCTCCCAAGACCATGGTAGCTAGAACTAACATTAGGTAATGACCATTAAATTTCTTTATACAATTTATATTAAAAAATTCTGGAACCATTTCATATACAAAATGCTACCACCCATCCAACTATGCAAATGATTTTTAGGCCATGTTTGGGAGTGCTTAAAAATAAGTGTTTATTTGGGCCATTAAGCACTTATTGGTATTTGGGAAATAAGCCCGGAATAAGTGTTTATCTTAAAAATAAGGGCTTATTTTTAAGCCCAAATTTCCATTTATTTTTAAATGCTTATACAATAAGCACTTATTCAACTTTTTCTTCCAAAATTATCCCTAGTTAAATTTTAAAATACCACTTATAAAATTATCCCTAGTTGAATTTTATAAAAATACTTTTGTAAAAGTTCTTTTATAAAAGTACTTTTATGAAGTATTTTCATAAAAGTGTTTTATTAAAGTACTTTTATAAAAACACTTTTGTGAAAACACTTTTATAAAAGTACTTTTAAGAAAGTACTTTTATGAAAGAACTTTTATGAAAGTACTTTTACAAAAGCACTTTTATAAATGTAATTTTATGAAAGCACTTTTAAGAAAGTACTTTTATAAAAGCACTTTTATGAAAGATTTTATGAAAGTACTTTTAGAAAAGCACTTTTATGAAAGTACTTTTATGAAAGCACTTTATAAAAATACTTTTATTATGAAAATACTTTATAAAAATGCTTCCATAAAAGTAGTTTCATAAAAGTCCTTTCGTAAAAGTACTTTCTTAAAAGTGCTTTTGTAAAAATGCTTTCATAAAAGTGTTTTTATAAAAGTACTTTCATAAAAGTATTTTCATAATAAAAGTACTTTTATAAAGTGCTTTCGTAAAAGTACTTTCATAAAAGTGCTTTCAAAGGGTATATTTTGAAATTTTGAAAGAAAATGAAGAACAAAATAGTCACAAATGCTTATTTAAGTGCTTATTAGAGAAAAATATTACAAATGCCCAACATAAAATAAACAATTGAAAAAGTTGGGTGCCAAATGCAAATAAGTGCTTATTCGAATAATCACTTGTTTTTAAGCACTTATTTTTAAGTTAAGCACTCCCAAACATGTCCTTAGTTAGAAAAGATGTTTATTTGTATTAACGCTGAGACCACAATCTAGATTCTAGTACTTAGTTGTTCTTAAAAGGAAGGAAAAAATAATATATAATTTCTTTATTCCACTTTCATTCCTTGATAAACATCAAATTAGTAGGTTTGTCTCGAAGTTGCTATCACTAATACAGTAATTCTCAATCTATGCCAGTTTTTCTCTTGATATTTCCTTCTCATATTAGTTTACCAATTATAAGCACATACATTTTTAATTAATTGTTCGATAAATACAAAGCTGGCGCCCAAGCTTTTATAAACTACTAAATTATTTTCTTTTTCTTCTAGCATTTAATGGTGGGATTATCTTTGATCCAGCAACTAAAACATTGTAAATTTCGGAAAATAGTAATGAATCATACCAAGGACCAAAAGAATGCAAATTACGATGCTTCCTTGTATTGCTTGCTATAATTCCTTTATTTTTGTAAAGGCAAAACAAAGGTGTTCCTTTCATCCTTTGTGGATGCTAGTAAGTATTATTTAATGTTTAATTTATTATTTTATTTTTATTCATAAAAATGCTAAAAGTTGGTATTTAAGGCCAAAAAATGGGCTTTCTTTCTAAAAAAAAATAGTGGGACAAGACGCCTTTGCCAACTTGAGAATGTAGATCTAGAAAAGTTACCCCAAATCAATATAAAGATTGTCCTAATAAGACAACCTAATGCAAAGTTATGGCCTCTAGAAGTTTTAATGTTCAATCAATAACCCTGTGATCAAGTTGAATGGATCAATGATTCAATTGCTGGAGTTCAATATTTTTTACCAAATCGATGTTGAAAACATTGGTTACCAAGTGGAGTTGGTCCCGTGATCTTAGTCAGGGCATTTAATTTTTACATAGCTTCATTCAATTTTCATATTTTATTATCTTATTTAATAAAATTTCTGTATATTATTATATTAACTATGATGTCACAAGTTGACCCTATTTTGATTAATTAATTACTTGGCTATATGGAATAATCAAGTCACAAGTTTGATATAGTTGATCGAGTCAGGTTTGGGTTAAACCAAACTTGTACTAAACCCAAACATTTGACATCCCTACTCAAAATTTAAGCTGCCCCAATGAAAATATAAAATATGTTTGGAGGCATCCTTTTTGTGACTATCATAGGATTGACTTAATCCCATTCATTAAAATTAATTTTAGTTCTTTAATATATTTGTTAATGTGCTAAATATGTTTGTAACTATGATCTCTGCTTGTGAAGGGTTGATATATATCCGTTGTACCATTGCAAATGTATTCTATTTATTATTTCCATATATTACAAATTGAAGAAAAAGAAAAAAAAAACAAATCACTGAGTTCGGTTCAAACCAAAATCCAACCAAGTTCATTTCAGACGTCAGGTTAGTTTACAAAGAAAATAAAATAGATTTACTTACAAATTTGCTCAGTAGTTTGTTCATCCTATAAGAAAGTTCATAGTTCAATCTGATTTTTTATCTACTTTAATCTAGAGCATATTATATTGTTGCTTTTGAGGGTTCACAATTTATGAGCATATAGCATGTCGATAGTCGTTTTATCCTGTATAATGCTTCTTTTCTACAATTGCTGCTAAAATGGTTATATAATATAAAAAATGTATTATTGTAGAAAGATATTGATGCTATTAAAGAAGCACTTGGTCAATTAAAATAATTTTGATGATTAGTTTTTAATTAATTACGTAATAATGAAAATATGTATTTACATTTTAGAAATTATAATCTTATTATTTATGTATTTATTTGCTAATTTAGTTATTATTAAATAGTATTAATAATTAATTATTATTGTTATTCATTAAGTGATTAATTAATAATAATTTATTATTTATTAATTAGTAATCTTATTTTTTTATTTTAATAATTCTTAACTAATAAATGATTAATAATAGTAATTAATGAATAATTAGAATTATTAATTAGTAGTATATGATTATTATTTATTAGTATTTCGTGAGTTGTATTAATTTTTAATCATTTTAGTAAATGTTTACCAATTTTTGTATATCAATTCATTAATTATTTAATTGCTAATTGATTTTTAATATATTTATTATTTCTTAATTATTTAATATTATTTTGTATGCAATTTATTAAATAATTACCAAATATTCTACTTCGAAAGGGTAGGATTGTCAAACATTTTTGGTATTTATATGACTTTATAGCTACTCATAACTAAAAATTCGTGGCTCTAGCTATAAATAACTTTTAGCCACGGACAAAGTGTTATTTAGCCACAATTAAAATGGCCATAGTTAAAGATCAATAACCACAAATAACTAAATCTGTGGCTATAGCTATAAATAGCTTTTAGCCACAGAAAAAAATGTCTTCTAGCCACGCACATAAAACCGTAGCTAAGGTCAATTAAACTTATAGTGAGGGAAACCTAAAACCATGGTTATAGGTAGCAATTAGCTATATTAGCTACGGATAAACAACTTTTAACCACAGACAGGATGACCGTAGCTAAAGTTTAATTTTTAACCACAACAGGAGTATATCTGTGGCTATATCCCAATTTTTAGCTATAGTTTTTATGTTTGTAACTGAAGTACAGTAGCTATAGCCCTATTTTCTAGTACTGCGATCCATGAGAGACGGGTTCTTCTCCTTTGTCTCAATGGTTTTTAACACTACTCGAGCACTCAAGTGAACACTGGCGAAGCACCGGTAGAGACAATTAATAAAGTTTTGTTTTTCCAACTATACTAATTATTAACTTCTATTTTCTTGATTCAACTTCATCAATGATGAAGAGACAAAATTGATCCCACTCAAGCGGTATTGGATTAGTAAGAGCTAGAGGATAAAGAATCTGAGATAGTTTTTGTTTCTTCAGCACTGATTTTGTGGGAACATGGAAATGGGAACAGATTACCAGAGGGTGGGAAAAGAATGAAAATTTGGGAAAATCAGCAAATAATAGATAAGAGGAGTCATGAGAATCTCATGAGAGAAAGACATGATTTATTGCTGGCACATATGATATGTAGACATGATTTAATGTTGATTTGGTGTCCTATGATTGGTTGTACAGAAAGTTGTGCATGACAACATGTGAAGGCGATCCAAACTCGTATTAAGTGGCATGGGCCGTTTATTTGTCCTACACCAACCACCAAACCACAGACAATGCAGATAGAAGTCACGCCCGCCCCCTCAATCGCTGGTGCTTTCACTCAATTGATGAGTTCAGACTTATGATTCATTCACTCCTCCTTCCCCTCCCCTAGCCTTCTCAGTTCTCACGTTAAAGGTAAAAAAAAAAAAAACATACAACAATAACGTGGTTACTCATACGTCTTCTGGGGTGTCTGGCACTACCCCCTTTGTTTCTTTCACTTCTTTCACTATTGGGTGAAGAGTTACAGTTACAGCTGGATTATACTGATGAATCACTATAACTGATGATGTCGTCGAGAACTCTGATGACGCCAAGAATGCCCCAACCGGACCTAATTCCGGACAGTCTGTTCTATCCATGAGTTGAACAATTGGTGGCTTTCTCCCCACTAAAAACAGATTGCATTTGTTCATTGTCTTCAACACTGCTCTTATATCCTCCTTACCACCTACCACCCTCTCCTCAAATGTGGTCGATTCTGGCACGTTTTCTCTCAGCTCCTCCAAGTACTCCATGTCTGCTTTCTTCTCATCCTCTTCTTCGGTTCCAACAGTAATACTGGTTGAACCTCGGTTACCAGAATTACTATCACCCGTCAATGACGTTCCTGGCTGGGCCTCAAACTTCACCACCGTTAGAACAATTCCGGGGTGTTCAGCCATGCGGAACGCATAAGCGAGTGCCTCGCGATCGTCACGGCCACCGAAGAAGGGCACCACGATCGAGTAGGAGACCTCGCTTGCTGAGACTTGGGTCGTCCCACCGAGGCCACGATCAACGAGTATCCCGACAGAGCAAGGCGAGTGGCGTAAAACTTGTTGATTAATGAGGTGGAATGAGTGGCCTAAGGATTCCATTGTACCATCGAGCCGCTGGTGTTTGTGGAAGGGGAGGAGGATTATGGAAGCGCGCTTTCGTTGAGCGCTGGCGCAGATGTCCTCATGGATGGTTTGGAGGGCGGAGATGGCGGTCATGGGGCGGATGGTGACGTTGCTGAGCTGCTGATAAGCTTCAAAGGCGATGACCATTTGATCCCTGTCGCCATGCTTCTTGTTCCAGAAGGGAAGTCCATTTTTCCGCGCCTTGTGAACCATGGAAATGGCAGAGGATCGCTCTGAAAACTCCATGAGGTGCATTGCATAGACACAGACACCACGACTTCGGGTTCCACGGGAGGACTCGATGACGTTGATCATGGTTGGGATGTTTCGGGTGCTGTTGAAGCAGGCCAGTATGCGCAGCTCCGTATCTCGGTCATGGCGTTTGATGGTCCGATGCTTGTATGGCGCGGCCTTCCTAGCTGGTTTGTACACGGCCATAACAATGGGGGTTGTGACGAAGGTGGTGAAGAGAGCCATGAGCACCAGGATGGCGAAGGTCTGGTCGTTCAACACCTGAGAAGATTTTGACAAACAAAACAAAATGCGTCTTATTATTTTGTCGATTTTAATGTAAAAGGAACCACGTTACAGTGGTGAACGATTGGAACCACCACGGTGCGTTGGTCAACTTGTTACCATTAATTCGTTATCAAGACTTACCTTTCGGTCTTTGCCAATGTTGAGGACGATAAGCTCCACCAAACCTTTTGTGTTCATGAGGAATCCTAGTGCGACAGCCTCTCTTTTGGGGACCTTACAGATGATAGAAATCACTACCGTACCTACGATCTTCCCAAAACAAGCATTAAATATGACAAGACATAGCAAGCCCCATGACTGTCCTCCTCTAATGGTTGCAACATTCGTCTTCAGCCCGCTAGACACGAAGTAGAGCGGAAGGAAGAGCCCCGACACAAGGTCCTCAATCTTCTCTATCAGTACGCCGGCAAATGGCCCGTCCTTGGGTACGATAACCCCAACCACGAAGGCCCCGAACAGCGCGTGAATGCCGATGGTATCCGTGACAAAACCTGCTGCCAACACCAGTGACAGTGTCGCGCAGATGTAGAGCTCCTTCACAGGCTCTCCTTCAGGGGACCGCCGAGCCATAAGTGCAAGTGCTGGTCGCAGGACCAAAATCGCAAATGTAACGAATGCAGCACCGCTCAGTAGGACCCATAAAGAGATGACTGGGGATGTGTCGCTGCCAGAGAGAGCGATAGCGAGTGCGAGGAGAATCCAGGCAGCGACGTCATTTACAGCCGCTGCGGACATGGCCATGCGCCCAAGGTCGGTTGTCAGGAGCTTTAGCTCTGCAAGTATACGAGCCAGTACCGGAAAAGCGGTGATGGAGAGAGATACACCCATGAAGACAAGGAAAGGACCATGCTTCGCTCCTTTGGATATGGTGGCTCGGAGTACGACGGACGTCCCAACTCCAAGAATGAACGGGAAGCTTATGCCCACCAAGGCAATAGCTAAAGCCTTCTTCCCGGTGCGACGAATAGCTCGCAAGTCGAGCTCTAGACCAACCAGGAACAAGAAGTAAAGAAGCCCAATGTTGGCGAGAGTATCCAACACAGTCATGCCCCTGGCCGGGAATACTTTGTGCAGGAATTTCTCGCTCCGCCCAAAGGCGGACGGCCCAAGTAGTATTCCTCCCTGCATCAAACCACATATAAACAGATCCAAGCTTTAACTCACCCTTGTCATGGAGATTTCTGAGTTGACGAAGTAAGAAACCATCCAATTCACGGTGGATGTTAACAAAACAAACCAATTTTGCTATGGCGGTGTCGCAGAGGACAGGGCTGAAAAACAAGGAAATCAAAGCCAGACTTTCATGTACTCCTATGGCCTCACCTTGAATTACATCAAGTGACGTCTTGATTTGATGGGGCCACAGCAATACATCTGAGGCCAGGCCATGATTCTCGGTTTCAGCCCTGCACTAACGAAAGTGAACTCGGATGGGAAAGCCCCAATAGGAAAGTAGAAAACTTTTCAGAAACAAGAAGGCGTAGCCCTATCATTCACTGTGAATCGGACTGCCGAGTCCGGATCTGCTGACCACGCACATCCGGTTACACGTCGGGATCGACCACGAATGGATAAGAAGAGGTTACATAAGACAAAGGAGGCACTCGAACAGACTAATCAGGTGGAAATGTGACCAGAGCGGAGAACTTCAAAGTCCCTAGTATCGTTTCTTAGTTATTCCTGAACGTGAGCATCTGCCCGACTTGACCGAAGACCAAGTCCAAGGGTTGGGGGATGTAGTCGACCAGGGCAGGCTCTACTGAAGACCGACTCATACTGTGCATATTTGGTATGGAACGAAGAGGGAAAGCCATACAAGGTCTTTCTAAGGCAACATTGTCATTTGCCAGTACTCATAAATTAATAGCAAAAGTATATTGTAACCAACTCAGAATTTTGAATCCGAATTCCATACAATTTAAAATGACAAATACCTTCGCACCCGTGAATTGCCAACAATTCCAAATTGACATCTACCCCAACTGTACAATGGGACTAAGAAATCTACTGAAAGTCGTTCTCCCTAAATTAATCTAGGTTTCTCTTAAAAAGGGTTCTCCATTTCGATAATTACGGAATATTTTTATTACCTCCAGATCTAGAAAAACAAAAAAAAAACTTCAGGACTTCAATTGATGACAATTTATGGAGAAATTATAATATGGACAATTCAAAATGATGCCTGTATGATAAAAGACTAACAAAGTTTGAAGAGGTGATCTTCTTACAAGTCAACTTTGTATTGATTTTATTAGATAAGAAGAAAAAACTAGTGTCATTAAGAACTGGCCGGGTTTCGAAATTTAGAGAGAGAGAGAGAGACATACAATAATCTCAGCGATGACTCTTGGTTGTCTAAGAGGCTTAAGGATGAGACCAATCACTCTGGTAAAAACGACGACCAAACAGATCTGCAAGATTAGTAAAGGAAGCGCGTAGTCAAGAGGATCTTCTCCTTGAAATGACCCATTAGATGTAGCTTTCATCGGTGCCGGGCACACCGTCGTTACGTTCTTCGCCATTGCCTAATGAATCCCAAATCAAACTTTATCAATTATATACCTGTAAACAGTAGAGATGCAGTGAGATTCAGTGGAAAAAAATTAAGAGGGGGAGGACCTGAAAACAATACTTTGAAGAAGGATTGAAAGATGTGATTATCTTCCAAAAGCAAATTAAAGAAGAATTTATCCATCTTTTTTTCTCATTTTAATGGAAGCAGAAGATGCTAGATTGGGAAGGACTAAATTTAGCGGAAACACTTACACGCTAATTTTGGCAGAAGAAAGAAATCAACCCAGTTGAGATCCTGATTCTTGCCTGGGGAAAGGGAAGAGCTTCTTGTGTGAAACGTGGCGCTTAGGCAACTTATTTATAGCCTTTCCGATGTCTGACCTTTTGGTTCGGTACGTGCATGGTGTAAAGCTAGGGCCGTTGGGCCAGTCCGTCCAGTCATCATGGAGGTTTGAGAGATTTTTTTGTGGGGTCGGGGTGAGGTAGGGAGATAACAACGAGTCCGCATATCTTCCCCACATGACATCTTAGCCACACATGGTAACATCTCATTCTCCTACGGGGAGATGTTCCAAATGCACGGAGTTGGTGTGTTGTGGATAGACGTGGCACTGTGGCAGAGTTCTTATTGGGCTCAGGAAATCTGGAGTCCAAAAGAAATTTCTCTGTGAGAAACAAATTCGAATTTGCCCCCACGAGACCGCGCCCCACAAGGTCCTACAGCATATCCCCATTGTGTATTGGGAATATCTTATGATGAGCCATTCGATTGGCAATAACTTTCGTTGTTGGGAGCCAACAGCATATATTGGCAAATAGTAATTGCCCTTGCTTTCTTTTGACCTAAAAGATAACATGGGCATGAATAGATTCACGTGAACAGCCCAAAGTTGCTCTCAACAGCATAAGTTTATGGTCCCAGCAACCAAAGTTATCCCATGCGCCTTTGAAGGAATGAAAGAGAACAGGAAGTATCGGAGAGAGGAAAAAAAAGGAAGAATATTTGCAAATATTGAAGACGGTGGGGAAAATTTTAAAATATGTATACGATACGTCTAGGTATGTATTTGTATATACCTATTCAGATACATATGCATATATTTATACAAGAGATTTTTTATCAAGTTTAAACGATACACCTATTCAGATACATATGCATATCACTATAACTGATACATCTATTCAGATACACATATCGTTATCACTATCACTGATACGGGGTAGGAATTGCAATGAGGCGGATTTGGGGCAGGGCGCCCCCACCCCGTAATCAAGACATTCTATCCAACAGGTGTATAGGCAAAATAAACTATTTATAGATAATTTATAAATAAGATTATGAGTATTTTAAGATTTGAGTTATGAGAATTTGGGGCTACTTTATAAATGGAATTATGAGAATGAGTTGTATCTCGACTCAAAAATCTGCAAATACAAATGTCTATTCTTTTAATTATGTTGATGATGGAAAATGGTTTATTTTGCCTATACACCTGTTGTATATATATATATGATGTTACTCAATCCGAGGTGGTGCATGAACTGAGGAGAGCGATCAGATAGTCCTTGCTAGTAAGGCAGGGCTGAGCTACAAGGACGAGGCCGCGCTTCAAGACCTGCAATTAAGAGTGGAGATATCAGAGGCCCGAGGAGATATCCCCGGGTAAGTACTCCGATGCTCAACTTAGTAGGAGGTGGTAGATGGTCGAGCCGAGTTATAAAGATGTTGGTCCGAGCTAAGTAGCAGTACGGGTGTCAGAAGTCGGATTCCCTTACCTTGAGCATGGAATACCTTTTTGTAGCCGAAAATCCATGTCCTAGTCGGATTGAGCTTCCGGAGTTGTCAAGATAAGGTTAGCCGCCGAGGTATTCGGGATAGAGTCCCATTCCCTAGCAGAGTCGTCTTCCTTACTCCTCTTTATCCGTAGTTGTGCTCATCCGTGTGACGTGTAGCTAACGTGGCTGAAAGGAATAAATGGGGGACCACAACAATAGCATAACTCAGCCGAGCTATGCCGATGTGGTCAGGCGATGACTAGGCGGCCACGTGTCTCTTAGGACTAGCTCAACCATGACCTGAACATCACTCCCCAAATTCTGAAGTCGAGGAATGAAGTAGTCTCAATTCGTTCCTCGGCTGAAGAACTTTCGAGTTAATATTTGGTTGAGCGTCTGGTCTCTTTGGTGTTCCTCGGCACTTGTCGTAATCTTGGGATTCGGGCAATATGGAACATGGCCGAGGAATCTTGCCATCGTTGGCTGCAAAACTTTTAGAACTTTGACTTCGGAATCCGAACACCACTCCCCTAGCTCTGGAGCCAAGAAAGGGGAATGTTCGGTCCAAAGTGTTGCATGGTCACTTAGCTCGGCAGAGCGCCGAGGTGTTGAACTAAGCTTCGAGGTCCGTTTTCCTGGTGGGGCCGAGGAACGACTCTCTGATTCCCAGTGGAAGTCAAGCTCCGGTGTTGAGGTCACTGTGATGCTCGACCATGATGTGCCGAGCTCCGAAGTCAAGGCTTAGCTTAGTCGGGTGCCAAAGAAGGGCTTCCTACTACCGATGGGAGGCCAAGCTTCGGAGTTGAGGTCATTGTGATACTCAGCCACGGTGCACCAAGCTACGAATTCGGGGACCTTAGAGGTGCCAATCTACGAAGATGAGGCAAATGTGATGCTCAACCATGGTATGCCGAGCTATTGTGATGCTCGGTCATGGTATGCTAAGCTTCAAAGTTAGGGGCCTCGTAGGCACCGAGCTATTGTGATGCTCGGCCATGGTATGCCAAGCTTCGAAGTTGAGGGCCTTGTAGGTGTCGAGCTATTATGGTGCTCAGCTATGGTGTGTCGAGCTTCGAAGTTGGGGTCTCTGCTCTTCGGCTGAGGAACTTGTACTTGAAATTTCAGAATCCGAACACCACTCCCCTAATTCCAAAGTCGAAGGGTGGGGTGCTCGGCTTGGGTACAGTTAGGCCTCCTTTGGTCAGTATTGCTTTATCAAGGTGGCACTTGATCCTCACTGCAGATTTGGCATCGATTCGTGTTCCTATGGATTATAAGAAAGGGTGGATGGGCATTTCCCCTTTGTCATTTACGAGAGGAGTTGCTTGGATAGCTCGGCAGGGTGTTGTCAGCATTGCTCGGCATTTTGTTTTTATTCCTTGGCTTCAAGCTCGGTAAGATGTCTTCCTCATCTTCCCATTCTTCTTCGCTTCTAGCTCTTCTGGTTCTAGTGAGTCTGATTATGAGTCCAAGGTTGGGGCTTTCGAGGATGCTGAGGTTGGTCCCTCTAGGGTGGAAGCTAAGCTTCCCTTGCGGGCTGGTCGCCGATTTGGGACCACACCCTATGTCTTGACCCTCAAGGACATGGCTCGGATCCGAGCTATGTACGACATAGCTCAACCCGACGAGATTTGTCTGTATGAGAAGAGTTTGGAAGTTGGGCTGAGGTTTCCACTGAACGAAGGGGTTACCGAGGTACTTGCATGGTATCGAGTATTGCCAGTGCAGCTGATGCTGAATTCATTTAGGTTTTTGGTCGGCCTTCTGTCCTACTACACCGTTCGTGATATCAAGCTGACCCTGGGTATGGTGAGCTTCCTTCTTCAGCTCAAACATCACTAGTAGGGCTACTACTACTTCTCGACTAGGAAGAACATCAAAGCGCTAGTCGGGGCCCCCTCTTCTGTGAAGCACTAGAAGGAAACTTTCTTCTTTGTGCACTGTCCCAGGGAGCTCCCCTTCCTAGCTGCACTACAAAAGCTGAGAGCAAGAGTGCCCCAACCTCAATGGTCTATACTTACTTGGGAGGAGAGGTTGTCTCTAAGCATGATTCGTGAGATAGACGTAGCTGCATATACATGCTCGGAGATGTTGATGCTCGACGAGATGATGCATAGGGTGGCTGGTCCGTCCATTTCATTACTTTGTTTGCCCGTACTTTGTTTGCTTCTTTGATCTTGTACTTACTGTCGTGCTTCCATGGTGCAGGTGTAGAAATGTCAAGTGAGGAGGAAATTGTACGTCGGATGAAGAAGAATCACCAAAGGTAGAACTGCGCCGGCGCACCACCGCAAGTCCATCCCGAGGTAGTTCCTCCTCTGAGGTCTTCCGAGAGGGTGTCTCATCAACAAAAAAGAGCTCGGCAGTCAGGGAATGACGATGAGGACGTTGTGGTTGTGGATCCTGGGGAAGCTTGCCAGGCTGCCTTCCCTGTGTGTGTTGAGGTGGGTAGCAACAACTCTGATATTCATGTGTTGCGTTGGATGATCCGTAGCCAAGATGGGCTAGAGACCCTCAGAATTCCCGAGCAGCTACTCTGCGGGATGATGACGGCGTACATCACCGAAGAGGCTGGGAACACTGGGAGCAGCACCTTAGAGTGCTCACTTATTCGGGCTACAGCCCAAGTAAGTTCCTACATGCCTTTGTTGTTTTAAGCATGTTTCTTCGTACTAACAATGCTTCTTGTGTCCGTAGAATGCATGCTCGGTCATTGTCGTGGTTGATTGTCTTCGTGAGTTGCGGTGATGGTACGATAAGGAGCATACCGAGTACCAGTAGGTGAAGGCCCAATTGACCAAGCTTCAGGCGGCTAGGGAGATATCCGCTGTGCTGGAGAAGGAGGTGACCGAGCTGAAGGCTCGGTTGGCCAAGCAAGTGGAGTTGGTCCGTGGCCTGAAGCACGAGATTATCGAACTGAAGGCAGAGAGGGAACGATTGAAGCAAGAGGCCGCCGAGGAGGCAGTGCCGCGGTACAAGGACTCGGTGAAGCTTCGACAGGACATGGATCAGTATGGTTTCGCTTCCTTCGAGGCTGGGTTCAACGTCTTTTGGCGGAGAGCACTATGCCACTGTCTCGAGCTAGCCGGTGTTGCACAGACTTGGAAAGCTTACGATGATGAAACGCTCGACCTCGGATTAACTCGTTGATGAGGAGGGCGGAGGCGGCGATGATGATGAAGATGGTGGTGACGAGGCCACTAATCTCCCTTTTGCGGATTGAACTGTTGCGGGTTCCTTTCTCTCTTTTTTTTGTTCCTGTAATGGCTCGGTATGCCGAAAATTCATCTACTATACTGGCTATTTAACTTAATGAAAATTTCTAGTTCTAAACTTGTGTGCAATCATTTTTTTTCTCTTTTTTATTGGGTTCCTCAACCTTGCCTTGGTTGAGGTGTGAGTTGGCCAAGATCTTCAGCCTCCGACTGGTGAAGCGGGAGTGTATTCTGAGCTCTCATCTTTGGGATACTCAGTTTTCGGTCTTGGGAGCCTTTAGGGCCCTTCGAGGGCTAGCCATTGCTCGACTAGCTTTGA